GCCCTCCCCAAATAATTATCTACTTCCCTACTGAAAGTTGTTATCGAATCGGCTTCGGCCAGCCTTTCAATTGACTGTGCATTTCCTGGGAGCTTGCAGATGAAAGGGTTAAAAGGCCAAGCCGAAGGTCGATTGCTTTGCGAGCGAAAAACGGACTTGAGAGCTTTTGAATCTCAAGGGTTAAGAGGAGCGAGCATGGAGCAGGGGGAGTGTTGGGGGGGTGGGGTGGGGTGGGAGGTGGGGGGTGGTGGGGAGGGGGGGTCAAGAGTAAAAGGAAATGTGGTCAAAATGTGTTTGCGCGTGGAGAGAAGGGAGGGGGTGGGGGGGGGGGGAGAGGGAGAGCGGAGGGGGAGAGGGCGGAGGGGAAGGAATGAGCGTTCTATTTTTGGCCACAGGATGCGAGAGGTTAGGAAGTGGGAAACTGAACGATATCAATCTCTGGTGAAACTAAACCATGTTTTGACCCGCGACCCGGAGCTATTCAAAGCAGCCGTCACATTTAATAAACACAGAGGGTGCTTCGGTCGCTGTGTCGTGGACCACCCACTGTCGTGGGCCTGATCCCCGTTCCTTGCAATAATAATAATTAATAATAATAATAACAAATAATAATAATAATAATCCTTGCATTTGCTAACACGCCTTATCCCCCGCCTCGCTCGTCCCACTGTTGGCCTTCTGCCACTCTGTCCTCACCCTCTGGAACTTCATTCTGCAGCCCCTCCACTTGGCCCCCACTTCCCCCCGCACCCCCCCACCCCCACTCCCTTGCAGCGGGTGAGAGAAACTCCCTTCTTATTTCGAATAGCGCAGCGTGATCTTCAAAGGGACCTACGATAACGTCTCATTCAAAGGACAGCACCTCCGGCACCCCAGCTCTGCCCTGCAGTGTCAACTTGGGCTGTGAATTCAACGTCCCTGACACTGCATTCATTCAAGGACCATCTTAAGCTGAGCGCTCGAGCGTGAGGCTCAGTGGGTTAGGCAGGCATCGGTTGGCAAGAGCCAAGGCTTGGGGGGACCCCAGAGTGTGAGTTGGGGTAACTGCTGGAGTCTAACCAGCTAAAACGGCATAGCCTGCCATCGATAGCGCAACCTGGCAAGCTTTCCCGCTGCTTGTCCAGCTGGGACCACCCAACCCGATCAGGCTTTGCAGGGTTTAATGGCCAGAGCACTATTTTCTCACTGCACGTTCTCTCCATCTCTCTCTCTTTCTCTCTCTCTCTCTTTCTTCTTCTTCCCAACCACATCGGCAGCTTGTTCACTTACCGTCAGGTCAGGGCAGGAGAAACAGGCCAACATCGCTCCTGGTGGCCAGCAGAGGCATGGTCCTTGGTGCACCCAAACACTTCTCGAGGTGACAATATCATAATATCCTTTGCATTTGCAATGCATTAACACGGTGGGAGTGCCTCACAAGGAGTGACTGTGTATGTTATGGGCAAAACTCGGCAGCCAATTTGAGCGCAGCAATGTCCCCACAAACAGCCATGGAGCGAGTGACCAATTTTATCTGGGGGATTGTTGGCCAGAGAGAGAAACTCCCTTCTCTTTTCGAATAGAGCCATGGAAGTTTTAACGTCCACCTGAACAGGCGGACAGGACCTCGGTTTAACGTCTCATCCAAAGGCCATCAGATCAGGCACCTCCAGCAAAGCAGCATTTCCCCAGCACTACATTGGAGTATCAGCTTAGACTATGTGATTCCAAGTCCCGAGGTGTGGCTTGAACAACAACATTCGGACAGCGCCTTTCACGTTGGGAGGACGTCCCAAAGTGCTGGACAGTCAGCGATTTGGAGCAGGGAGTTGGGATCAGGGTGATAGGAGGAAGGGAGGGTAGGGGTATCCGAATGAGTGGATGAAGAGGAGGGTCTGGAGACGTGCTTTGAAGGAGACGAGGGAGGGAGCAAGACAAAGGGACCGTAGGATGGAGTTCCAGAGGATGGGGGCAGAGAAGCTGAAGGCCCGACCGCCGATAGTGGGTCGGGCCGGGCGGAGGACGTGGAGCAGGCCACGGCCTGCTGAGCAGAGGAAGCGGATATGGGTTAGCAGGTATCAGACGTGGGAAGGAGCAAGGCCGAGGAGGGTATTGAAGGCGAGGACAAGGATTTTAAACTCCATCTATCCTCTGAGGGATGGGGAGCCAGTGGAGCCGGGCGAGGGCAGGAGTGATGGGGTCACGGAGCCTGGTGCGGGAGAAGGCACGAGCTGCAGAGTTCTGGACGATCCGATGTTTGTGGAGGGAAGAGTTTGAAAGGCCGACAGGCAGGGAGCTGGCTCAGCCGAGCCTAGATGTAACATATGCGTGGATGAGTGGTTCAGCGGTCTGAGGGGAGAGACAGTGGCGGAGCCGGGTGATGTTGCGCTTTGAGACGTCTGAACAACATGAACCCACAATCTTTTGACTCAGAGGCTGATAACTCGTCCCCGGCTTAACTTGTCACTACCACTTAAGTCATCGCGCTGACAATAAACCCCAGCTGTATTTATTTATGCATCTAGACACACACCTAACTCGCCGCACCTGATAACTCATCACTGGGTCCTTTTGCCTTGGGAGCGATGAGCTCCAAGGTGAATCATCAGGAGTTTTGTGCTTCACGGGTTATTGAAACAGAGACTATGAATGCGTGGGTGAACGCGGCAGCCAAATTGCGTTCAGCGACGTCCCACAAACAGCCATGTAATGACCGAGCTCTGCATTGTCGGAGGTGCCGATCTTCGGATGAGACATTCAACCGAGGGTTTTGGAAAAGATAAGGGGGTTTTCTCTCTCCCGGTGTCCTGGCTGACAGTCCTCCCGAATAAAATTAGTTGGTTCATTTCCACGGCTGTTTGTGGGACGTTGCTGTGGGCAAATTGGTTGCCGCGTTGGCCTTCAAAATAAACATTCACTACACTTCACAGTAAAATCCTGAGAGGTCTCGACGACCTGAGAAGGCGCCGTATCAAATGTAAAGTTTGTAACTGTTATATCGCTTTCTCCTCCGAGTGCAACCTTTGCCATTTGACAGAAGGGTACTCGTGGAATCCCATAGCGTAGTGGTTAGCGCGCTCGCTTCAAGCAAGCGAGAGGACCTGGGTTCAATTCCCGAGCGGGGCAAAACCTAAGGCAAGCTTCCTTACTCCGCACGCCTCGGTTTACCTAGCGGTAAGTAGGAACCCGGATGAGTCATTGACGGTTCACTTTCTAGGGGGTAATAATAATCCCTCAAAGAACAAATGTGGTCACTCAACCCACGGCTGTTCATGGGACACTGCCGTGTGCAATTGGCTGCCGCGTTTCGCACCCCACCCCACCCCCCAAAATAGTCAATCCACTTTACAATACATCCCGTGAAGCGCTTTGAGACGTCTCAATGACCTGCTAAGGCGCTGTATCAAATGCAAGGATTCTTAATATTATTATTCTACTTCTTCGCAAAGAAAAAAAACCCCTGCATTACTGGCAAGGACCTAGAACCTTTTCCTCTCAAGGGCATGACATCATGTCTGAGTTACAGAGCTGGGCTATTAGCTGTCTGGTGTGCTGGGGCCATGTGTGCTGTTTATGGTCTGTTTTGCAGCCGTCAAACGCTCGTCTGTCCTTTAACACAAAACGGGTCTCACCCTCGGAAGGGTGGGAGGGTGGGGAGGGGTGGATGAGTCGGGCAGAACTCCTTAGCAGAGGGTGACCATATTTTATAAACCAAATCCAGGGACGTTTAAGAGAAATTACTGATGCCGGTACTCGTATTAGATAAATGTGTTGGATTAATAGCTGTGCTTCTCTGATGAGCGGGTTTTAGAATTTTATTGTTCCTGCTCAGTTTATTGCTGGACAACCGCAAACACCCCCCACCTCACCCACCCCACTCCCCCTCCAGCCATGACACCCCAAAACTCTCTCCCTCAATCCCTCCGCCTTGCCCCCTCCTTCGGACCTCCCTCTTCAACTGAGTCTACCGTCACCTCCTCACTACTCGGAGTCGTGCTCTGCCACTGTCAAGCGCTCCAGGACGCTAGCTACCCTGCGTGAGGGGCGCTATATCATTACAAGCTCCATCCACCTCTGCAATTTTCAAATCATAATAATCCTTGCATTTGATATAGCGCTTTTCACGTCTTCTCGACGTCTCAAAAGCGCTTCACAGAATACACTGTAAAGTGAATTGACTGTACATTTGTGGGCGAAACGCAGCAGCCAATTTCGCACAGCAGCGTCCCCACAAACAGTCGTGGATTGAAGATGACCAATTTATTATTGTTTTGGGTTTTGGAGGGATTATTATTAGGCTCTGTGTGTGTGGAGTAAGGAAACTTGCCCAAGGTTTCGCCCTCTGCCTGGAACTGAACTCAGGTCTCTCGCTTGCAAGGCGAGTGCTCTAACCACTGAGCTACAGGACTCCCAATCATCTGCCGTACATACAATGGAGGGCATTGCGCGTGGCTTTCAAGAGGGAAGTAGACGGACATATAAAAGAGAGGATTGAAAAGGGTTTGGGGATAAGGCAGGGACGTGGGATTGAAGCAATCTCTTGCTCTGTGAGTCGACGTGGACTCAATGGCCTTCTTTCTGTGCTGTAGATTTCCACATTGCTAACTTCCGCGCTGTAAATGCTCTGATTTGAAATACTTGTGAAATACACGCTACGGGATGGGATTCTGGTAGCGTAGTGGTTAACCCGCTCGCCTCACAAGCGAGATTCACGGGCGGGGTGAAACCTTAGGCAAGTTTCCCTACTCCACATGCCTCTGTTTACCTAGGCGTTTTAAGTAGGAACCCGGTTGTTAGTTGATTGGCAGATCGCTTTCCCACGGTAATAATCCCTCACTCAATCCACGACTGTTTGTGGGACGCTGCTGTGTGCAATTGCCTGCCGTATTTCGGCCACAAAATACACAGTCAATCCAATTTACAACATATCCTGTGAAGCGCTTTGAGATGTCTCAACGACGTGATAAGGCGCTGTATCAAATGCAAAGATTATGATTGTAATTAAAAACAGAATATTGCGGGAAAACTATTTTTTTTATTTACCACGAAATACAATAAAATACACTGAATATCAAATGATACTTTTGCTTCCGGGAAAACATTGCTAAACCCAGGGTTGTGAAGGACAGGAGGTTAAGATATGCAAGAAGACATTCTCTCTCATGTGTACAGGTTGCTTTGGACATTGAAATTCTCGAACAGTTTCTTCAGTATTTCAGCGCTCCGAGAGATATCCTGCAATGGAACGAGAGACGTCAGTCAGAGATTGTCAGGGTACCAGCCTGCCTTTAATAATAATCTTTATAATCCTTGCTACACCGCCTTATCACCTTGTTGAGATGTCTTAAAGAGCTTCACAGAATACATTGTGAAGTGGTTCATACTCCCTCGTCATCGCAAGCTCCCCAAATACAGGAGACTGTTTTCCCTCTCTCCCTCCCCTTCTCCCTTTAACTTTGACATACTACTTTGGAAACTGATCACCTCTATCGGAAACGTACCACCTCCAATCATATCCCCTTTCTTTCGATCAATCAATCGATCGATCAATCAATCTCTTTCTCTCCAGCGGAAAAAAAAAGCAGTCAAGTGCTCTGTGACCCGTCTCTTACCTTCTCGAAGGGAACTGCAATGTGGCAGGACAGGAGAGGCTTGAAGGCTCCTATCGTCTCCGAGTCCAGGTGGGTGACATTGCTGTGGCACTGATATACAACCGCGGGTATATGCCACACCTGGCAGTAGCTCAGAACTGTGTGAGACGCCAGAGGAAAGCCAATAGTTAGGAAACAGAGGGGTCACATTCGCAGAAGACTTCGAGAATCACTGTACGGGGTCTCCTTCGAGCCAGGAGGGTCCACAGTGTCCCAGGGCACTGCTGATAACAGCACAGCCTGGTTCATTGGCAGGACCTGGAAGAGCAGAACAGTCACTGGGGGCAGAGAATCCTCCCAGTCAGCGCCTGTTAACCCTGCAAACCAAAGCCCTAACGTACAGCCTAAGCTGACGCTCCAATGCACTACTGGGGGGGTGTTGCATTGTCCAAGGTGCCATCCTTCGGATGAGATTTTAAACCGAGGTTCCGCCTGTGCCTGTTCTGGTGGACGTTAAGGATCCCGCTGTGCTCTTCGGAAAGAGAAGTGAGTTTCTCACGGTGTCCTAACTGACCCACCCACACACCCACCTTCCCTCCCTCCCTCACACTCCCTCATACGCACACACTCTCTCTTTCTCTCTCTCTCGCTCACTCAATGACTGTGGGAAATCACTGTGTGCAAACTGGCTGCTGCATTGAATAATAATAATAATCCTTGCATTTGATACAGCGCCTTATCAGGTCTTCGATACCCCGCCTCAAAGCGCTTCACAGAATATACTGTAAAGTGAATTGACTGCATATTTTGTGGGCGAAAGGCGGCAGCCAATTGCGCACAGCAGTGTCCCACAAACAGCCGTGGATTGAGTGGCCAAATCATTATTTTTTTTAAATCGATTATTACACCTGGAAAGTGATCCGCCAATTGACTAAAAAATAGGTTCCTACTTAATGTTAGGTAAACAGAGGCGCGTGGAGTAAACGTTACCTTAAGGTTTCGCTTGGCCTGGGAATCGAACCCAGGTCCTCTCGCTCGCGAGGTGAGCGTGCTAACCACTACGCTACAAATAAGTTTTGTTCCTGTTTCCACACACGAAAAAAANCACGCGGTCCCTACCTGCCGCAGGGAGCCCAGTGATTATGTTGGGTTGCTCCAGGAGCGGACAGCATAGACTGTCTTTGAACTCTTTTGTCTTCAGAGCGCGGAGGAAAGGCATGACCAAACCGGAGACGGGTTCGGCTGACTTGTACTCAGCCATCGAGCAGTTTGACAGCACAATCACATTTAAATTCTGTTTCTGGAGACTTGCAAAGACCTGGAGTCGAGAGAAACGTACACACATTGACAAACGTCATGCCTATATATAGACTGTATACATCAATATAAAAATAATCCTAACGTTAGTAATCCTAATTGTCTCACAGCACTTTGCGTTACAAATTTTAAACTGTAATACAATAGTGATGATCCTTACATCTGATAAAGCACTTTTCGCGTCAACGACTTGCGCTCTGAGATGCTCCCCTTCGTGGAGGGCGCTATAGAAGTGCAAGTCGTTGCTGTTATATCGCGTCCTTCAAGCAGGGAAGGGTCTCGGAATGCTTAACAGTGGAGGAGCCTGATGCCGAGCCGCGGTGCTCCGCCACTGCCAAGCGCTCTGGGACGCTACCCTGTGTGAGGGGCGGGACCTCAGTTTAACGTCTCATCCGAAGGACGGCACCTCACATATTGCAGGAACCCCCCCCATCCCCCGCCCCACACCCCCACACCCTCCCCAGTGTAAACATCAGTGTCCCCAATGTAAGGCTTGAACCCACCACCGAAAGGCAAGAGAGCAAGTGACTGAACCAGGCTGGAGGCAGTCAGGCTTTTTCCAGGTGTCCGCCGGGTGTCTGACACGTGCGGAAACCCATCACCGTACTTAAGAGCATCCAAACCAAACTAACAATTCCATGGGTTCCACCTACACACGGAAATCCCAGAGATAGGTTGTCGGGATGGAATGCGCACCCTCTCTCCCTGGAGGGACGCATCTTATTCACCTAATTCCGGAAAGTATTAGGCGCAGGTTGGCAAGAGCCAAGGCTTGGGGTAACTGCTGGAGTCTAACCAGCTATAACTGTCATTGCCAAGCTTTCCCGCTGGTTGTCCGGCTAGGACCACCCTACCCGTTAGGGCTTTGGCTGGCAGGGTTAACAGGAGCTGAGTGGGAGGATTCTCTGCCCTCAGTCAGGCTTACCTTGTCGGTCCACTGGAAGAGCTGATCCTCGGGCACGACGTCACTACAATGACAGGTTAAGATCTACAGAGAGAAGAGGGACGTGAGGATTAGCACCCATTAGCACAGCAAGTGTTTCGGCTCTGCACCCCCCCCCCCTTTCGGACATGAACCTCACAAGCATGTCATCGTCTTTCTGGAACATACCACGTTGTCTGCACGCTCCTCGGGTGGTACAGGCTCGCGATAAGGAGCAACGTCAAATAATCCTACATCAAATAGTGTAGGATTATTACTATTATTATTAGTAGTAGTAGTAGTAGTATTAACAGCTACTGCTTACAAGGTTTTACATGCAAAAATGTGGCAGCCAATTTCGCCTCTCAGGAAAATAAGCCGAAGTGAGTGATCGATTTAATCGGGGTGGGGTGGGGTGGGGGCGGGGAAGGGGGAGATTGTTCGAGAGAGGAACTCCCTTCTCTTGTGCATTTGTGTCACGGGAGCTTTAGCTCCCTAACTGGTCGATCAAGCGCTCAGAGATCAGATTTTAAACCACCTGTGTCCTTTTCAGGTGGACATTAAAAGATCCGAGCGGCGCTCACTTGAAAAGTGAGGGGAGTTTCTTTCTCCTGGTGTCCTGGCCGACAAATCAATCACCCGGGTAAGGAATTGGCTGCCCTCGAGGTATCTCGAACCGCCATCTCAAAGCACTTTGCTGGATTTTTACTGCCAAGTGTAGTCGCTGCGCTGTTTGTGGGAAAGGAAGGCGGCTAATTTGCGCGCACACAGCTTACGTTGGGGTTTGAGGTCAGCCGGTACAGAAGACAGGACGAGTCCGTTGGGAACTCCTGGGCCAGGTTCTTTGTCCCTTCGACGGCCTCGTTCCACAAAGTCACCGTTCCGATAACCTCCCAGTCGCCAGCACTTTGTACAAAAGCGTTGACAAACCCTGCACGAGGGGGTTGAAAGAGATTTGTCGAAGAAAAAGCTCATCTGCTCCCGCCCGCTGACTCGTCCCCTCACTCACCTCCTTCAAGGCCTGTCTCAAAGCTTTCCTCTGCGCCTGCCCTTCAGCCTGCTTCCCGCCACCGCTACCCACCCCCATCCCTCCGCGCCACCCCCCCCCCCCCCCCGCTCGCCCTCCACCCCTCAACTCCAGACCGTAGCTCTGGTGTAAACCCTTGACTGTCCAGGACATCGGGACGACCTCCCTACGTGAATTAAATATAATTTGCTCTCGCTTTCACTGCGGCCCCGGAGCCACTAACGCGCGGAATGAGGGTTGAGACCCGATCAAATGCTTGGTGGTGGGGGGGCTGGTGGTGGTGGTGGTGGTGTGCGGGCAGGGAAGAGAGAGAGAAGAGAAGGGATGGGCAGAACATCTGACAAACTCCCAGCGAAGACCGGGGAGCAGAGAGCACGTCCAGTTCGGGGGGTGGGGGGTGGGAGAATGTGCACATTACGTGGCTTCGACTGAATGTATGAAATCATCCAAGTCTACGTACCTGTCCAGCAAAGAGGCGGCGCTAAATAACGTCACAGCATTCATGTTATATCTAACGTTATATCCGCAATGCATGACCATAGTGAATCGTACTACTACTGCTACCACTACGAATATTCCTTGCGTTTGAGACGGCGCCTTAACGCGTCGTCAAGACGTCTCAAAAGCGTTTCACGGCATATGCTGCAGTTGGGTCGCTCAATCCACGACGGTTCGCGGGCCGCCGCTGTGCGCAATCGGCTGCCGCGTTTCGCCCACAAAATGCACGGTCACTTCACTGTGCGGTAGGACTCGTGGAGTCCTGTGGCTCAGTGGTTAGAGCACTCGCTTTGCGAGCGAGAGACCCGAGTTCAATTCCAGGCAGGGTGAAACCTTGGGCAAGTTTCCTTACTCCACACAGAGCCTAATAATAATCCCTCCAAAACCAAAAACAATAATAAATTGGTCATTTTCAATCTACCACAGTTTGTGGGACATTGCTGTGCGCAATTGGCTGCCGCGTTCGCCCACAAATATACAGTCGATTCACTTTACAGTGTGTTCTGTGAAGCGCTTTGGGACGTCCTCCTGACGTGAAAAGCGCTATATCAAATGCGAGGATTATTATTATCATTATTATTATCATTATTATTATTATTACATTCTGCGAAGCGCGTTGAGGCGTCTCGGAGACGAGCGCGGGGGGGGGGGGGGGGCGCCGTATCGAACGCGCGGCTTATCGTTGTTCGGTGTAAAGTGCTGCGACTGCGCCGGACGGACAGGCGAAGGGGCTGTCACCGTGACTCACTCACCCACGGCGTTGGGCCCCACAGCCACGATCAGGGCGGAGCGCGGCGGACACCGACCCGCGCAGCTTCCCGTCGCCCCCTGGTTCTCCGGAAGCCACTGGACGCGAACCTCTCTGGCGGGCGGACACGGGCACCGTCGTGAGACGCGGCGCAGGCCTCCGAGCCCCAGACCGGAGCGACCCACCCGCCTCCCGACGGCCGCGGCCGACACAAGCTCACGCGCCGCCGTTCACGCCACGTCCTGCGTGCGCGCAGCACCCGGACTCCCTCCCGCCGCCCTGCACCGAGGCGTACAAGCCCCTTGCGTATCACCGCGTGCACACACTTTGCGCCCTGGGTACGCGCCGTGCGCCCTGTGTACGCGTGCGGGTGCTGTGTACGCACTGTGTGCGCCGCGCGGGTGCCGCGTACACACCGTATACGCAGTGCGAGTGCCGCGTACACAGCGTATACGCAGCGTGAGTGCCGCGTACACAGCGTATACGCAGTGCGGGTGCCGCGTACACACCGTATACGCAGCGCGAGTGCCGCGTACACAGCGTATACACAGCGCGAGTGCCGCGTACACACCGTATACGCAGTGCGAGTGCCGCGTACACACCGTATACACAGCGCGAGTGCCGCGTACACAGCGTATACGCAGCGCGAGTGCCGCGTACACAGTGTATACGCAGTGCGAGTTCCCGCGGTGTACCTGTGACTCGCGGCCTCGCGGCCCTCCTCCTCCTCCTCCCTCACGGCCCGAGAGAAGACCGGCAGCACCTCCCCGAAAAACGTGGCCATCGCGGGGCAGAGACACCGAGAGAGACCGAGAGAGGCCTCACCGCCACTCCCCCCCACACCCCACACCCCGACACGGCTCTCCCCACTCCCACTCCCACTCCGCCGCTGCTGCCCCCTACAGGCCGCGCTGGGTAACCGCGCATGTGCACTGAGCCCCACCCCCCCTGTGTTGCCCCCCTCCCCCAGTCTGTGTTGCCCCCCCCCCCCCAGTCTGTGTTCCCCCCCCCCCAGTCTGTGTTCCCCCCCCCCAGTCTGTGTTGCCCCCCCCCCAGTCTGTGTTGCCCCCCCCCCCCAGTCTGTGTTGGCCCCCCCCCCAGTCTGTGTTTGCCCCCCCCCCAGTCTGTGTTGCCCCCCCCCCAGTCTGTGTTGGCCCCCCCCCCCAGTCTGTGTTTGCCCCCCCCCCAGTCTGTGTTGCCCCCAGTCTGTGTTGCCCCCCCCCCCAGTCTGTGTTGCCCCCCCCCAGTCTGTGTTTGCCCCCCCCCCCCACCTGTGTATCTCCCCCCCCACCCCTTACATTCCCCTCCAACAACAACAACAACAACAACCCATTATAATGCAGTTGCTACAGCTCCTTATCACATGGCAGAGGCGTCTCAAAGCGCTTCACAGGTCACACTATAAAGTGAATGAAGGTGGATTTTGCTGCCAATTTTTTTTTAAGGGGTTATTCCCCCCCCCCCTCCCCGGCAAGCGCCGCACCGGCAGGATTCCCGGTTACTGCTGGGTAAACCGAGGCGCGGGGGCAGGAGACCCGCCGGGGGTTTCGCCCGGACCGGGCATCGAACCCGGGTCCTCTCGCTTGCGAGGCGAGCGCTTCCCTGCTCCGCTGCGGAACTCCGCCCCGTCCGATCGCAAGCCCCCGGAAACGGAAGCTCCCTAACAAGGGGACGCGTTTCTTCTCGAAATGCCTTTTATTTTATGGTATAAAAACCCCAAGATTTGGTACTTACAGGGAGGGCGGGTGGGGCGGCGGGCGGCGGGGCGGGGAATCTGGTTTTCGCACAAGAAAAATCACTCTGAAAGTCCGGATAAATCACCATTAATTACGGTACCACTCCGCGGCGAAGGCAAATTGCGAGTTTTAACTAACTTTTACACGTTCACGTGTTTGCAATAATACAGAAATCGTCATCGCTTCACGACCACAAACGGAAGAGGGTGTTGCTCCCACTGAGCGGATAATAGTTAAAACCGATCATAGATTTGAAACGGACCAAAACGTCTTGAATACCATGACAATGTCTAAAAAGTCTTAAAAGAAGAAGGATGATTTTTATTGTAAGGTAATAGCGTAGTTATCACGACCTGTCTATTCGTTCGGTCACCTTATACGTTCATAGGTCGACTCCACCCCTCGGTGATGCTTTTCCAAGTGAGTCTTCCGGAATCGGTACAACTTTCACAGTGACGGACAGCAAAGCGAGTGGTGACGGCCGCTTTGCTCCGTCAGAGGTGGAGGTAACTGGCGGAGTTTAAGCTGCCATGTAGTTTGTGGGCAGAGACCCTCATGGTGTTGGGCAGCCTGACGCTCGGAGCCGCTTCAGGTCAGAGGACACCGCGCTCTGGTCAGTGAGCTGTGGCGATGTTGGGGACAGAGAGCAGCACGTTATATACACAGCCTCTCGCTCGCTCCAACATCCTCCCGAACCAGGATAGTTTAGATTTTACATGGAAATAAACTGAGCCCCACAGAGTGGGCAAAGTGGGCAAAGTGGCAGGAGTGAGAGTTAAAACACAGAGCCGATTCACTGCAACATATCGACCCTGACAGCTTCATTATAATCCAAACAGATAAAGTGAATTAATGTCTTTAAATCAATGCGCGTCAGCTTTTGCCTCTCGGTCAGAAGGTTGTGGGTTCAAGTCCCACGTTGATGGAATGGTAAACGGAAAATGGAATTAGGTTAGAAGATCAGCCATGATCTTATTAAATGGTGGGGCAGGCGCGAGGGGCCGAACGGACTACTCCTGCGTCTTATGCTGAGGTTTTGTTGCATTGTCAGAGACGCCACCCTTTGGATAAGATGTTAAACCAAGTCTGCCCGTTGATGTCGACGCTAAAGATCCCTTCGGCACTAATTGAACAGAGAAGGAAGTTTCTTCCAGTACACTGGCCAACAATTCTCCAAATAAAATTGATCATTATCTTCATGGCTGTTTGTGTGACATTGCTGCATGCCAACTGGCTGATGAATTTGTCTACAAAATACATAATAATGTTTTGTTTACAATCCTGTTTATAAAAAAAATTCCTAACAAGATGAAATTGAAGGAGAAATTAGACGGAATGGAGAATGATGAATCTGATATCATCTGGGATTTGTGTATTGGTGATGGTGTGACAAATTCACTGATCACTTTTTTTCTGATTAGCCACATGTCTAACACATGTGGAAATCCACCTTTATACTTAATACTTTCCATACCCACAGCACCGTCTATGTGTTCATCGCGAAGTGGATGGGACATTGCTGGTGCAGACTGGCTGTCCTGTTTGGCGATCTATGGGCTCTTTACCTTCCCTCTTGTGTTTAAGTTGTTCTGTCTTTGAAGGGCTTCTTTCTCCCTCCCCCCACACACCACCCCTCCTCCCCAGATGACTTATCAAAGAAATGTAGAAGCACACCTGGGGAGTACTGATCGTACCAATATAAATTATGAGATGATAATGATAACAATAAGCGTGGCATTTGATATAATGCCTTATCATGACTGAGACGTTCACGGAATATAGTGTAAAGTGAATTGACTGTATATTTTATGGGTGAAACACGGTAGCCAATTGCGCACAGCAGTGTGCCACAAACGGTCATGGAATGAGTGACAACTGGGTTCTTACTTACTGCTTATGTGGAATAAGGAAAGTTGTCTAACGTTTCGCCTCGCCTGGAAATCGAACTTGCGATACGAGTGCTCTAACCAATGTGCTACAGGACTCCACTTATAATAATAATAATCCTTGCATTTGATATAGCGCTTTTCACGTCGGGAGGACGTCCCAAAGCGCTTCACAGAACACACTGTAAAGTGAATTGACTGTATATTTGTGGGCAAACGCGGTAGCCAATTGCGCACAGCAATGTCCCACAAACAGTCGTAGATTGAAAATGACCAATTTATTATTTTTTGGTTTTGGAGGGATTATTATTAGGCTCTGTGTGGAGTAAGGAAACTTGCCCAAGGTTTCACCCTCTGCCTGGAATTGAACTCAGGTCTCTCACTTGCAAAGCGAGTGCTCTAACCACTGAGCTACAGGACTCCACTTGATGTCTGATCGGTCAGAACAGTAGTGGTCCTGGCGTCAAGGGCAAATGCAAACTACATCTTCCGGGCACAAAAATGGATAGAAAACTGGCATCAGCAAATTGTACATAAGTAATTGCAAAAGCCTTCGACAAATTGCTGGACAAAAGAAACCCCTCGGCCTCCTCATCTGGCCTCCAGTCAAACGTTTGCACATTGTTGATCCTGTTCCCACATCTCCGTCGTCCCTTATTTTCTGAATGAAAGCCACCACTCGCTCCTTGATCCTTTTGCCACATCTATCTGGCCACCCAAACTCCCCTCCTCACACCTTTGCTGGCCATTCTCTCTGCTTCTCCACTGGTACAGCACTCCCCTCCTTTCAAAACCACTGTCATCACCCTCCACCTGAAGAAACTGTCACTTGACCCTTCTATGCTCTGCAGCTACCAAACAATCTCCAACTTGCCCTTCCTATCCAAAGCCTTATTTTGTAGAAAAATGCACCAGTGCGTTTTGTCTGCTGTGGATTAGTGGTTGCATTTGTTTGGACAACTAAAGTTACTTTTCTTCTAGGTAAATCATTGTGTGAAGCCTTCCAACACAGAGTACCACATCAATTGTAATGCCCGTTTTGTTACGTATGCCCTTTTGTTTCCTCTTTAGTCGCTCCCACTGATGTCACAGAACCGTATCCAGACATCCCTGCGGCTGACAGTGGAGAAAGCGCCATAGCCACCGGTCTAGCAAAAAAATGCAAAACCAGCCGCTTCCATAAATTGGGAAAGCCCTTTCGATTTCAGTTTTACTCAGAGTGCCGCACCTCCTCCTCCCTCCTGATGGGACTGTAACCGTCTCAAGCCCACTTCGTCTATTCCCAACTAGAGAGATGAATGGACAGTACGTTTACTGTGTGGTGGAACATCCAGCACTGAAGGCTCCTGAACGATTGGGTTAATCAGCTAAACGTTCATTGTATGTATAACCATCTATTCCTATACTGTTTCAACAGTCCAGTTTAGTAAATACACAGTTTAGTAACACTTGTTAATGCCGTTTTAGTAAATGCACATAATAGAAGTAACACTTGTTAATGCTGCTGTTTCTCCTTTCAACTTTCCTGTCAGTTTTCAGTTACGTCATCAAGTCCTGGAGGAGTTTTAAGTTTCTGGGGCTCCCGTCGACATCTTCTCAACTCAATCATTGACCTGCACATTGACCTCTCTCTCTCTCGCAGGCATACGACTCTCATTAGTTCTACTTTTTCTGCTTATCTCTTCAAATTTTACTTCTTCCACTACTACTCCCCCCCCACCCCCGCCAGCCCCCTCCTGCTGAGACACGTTCACCGCTTACAAGCTCAACCATTGCAACAACCTGCCGCTCCGCAGGATCCTCAGCTTCTTCCGACACAAGTGACAGACCGTCCGGAACTCTGCTGCGTGTGGCCTCTCCTGGAGCAGGCGCTGGGAGCGCATCACCCCATCCTCGCTCAGCTTCACTCGCTCCCTTTCTGCTCACTTTCAAATGCCTCCATGACCTACCCTCACCCCACCTCTGCTACCTCCTGCGTTCCATTCTTGTTCTTGTGCTCAGCAGATTTGGCCAACTTCACCTATCCCCCTCTGAAACTCCATCCCTTTGTCCTGCATCTTGTCCCATGCTTCCCTGTTTGCTCACCTCTTGTACTATAGTACTGACCAAGTGAAAAGTCAAATTCTCTCTCTGTCGCATGCACATAATAATAATAATCCTTGCATTTGATATAGCGCTTTTCACGTCAGGAGGACGTCCCAAAGCGCTTCACAGAACACACTGTAAAG